CGCGTCTACAGTGAGTCCTTTTGCGGAGAATGTATTTCTGCGATGCAGAATTTGCAAGGAAAACGACTGCAACTGTAACATCAAATCCTCAATTAATTCATAAAGTCAAATTGTAAGAAGTAATCATAAATTTATTAGATTTATTATATAATATTGCATTAGCATAAAGTACAATACGTATTTAAAAATAAAGTGTATAAATTAAATTAAATTTTTTTTATTACCTCGCTTTTGATTTTTTTATCGCCGGTAATGTTAAGCACGTCATGAACAGTAGTGCCAATCTGCAGAGCTTGATCCTTTCCGGTCGCACAAGCCCACACCATCAACAATATTTTTGTAAAATAATACGTTATGCACATTGTCATAAACGTGGTATAGATATTATCATCTACGTTGATCATGGATATGTTGCTTTGCCAATACAATATATGAAAGTAGAATAGAAACGTGATTTCGCCAAAAGTTATAATTATACTAATGAGGAGCTGCAAACTGAAAATCATGTTCAACATCTGCACTGTATTACTAATAGTTTGGTGCTGCTTTTTCAAGGCCTTTAATTCGGTCAGTAACAATAAACTCCTTTGTTGGTACATCTTGCCGAGATGATACACCTCATCATCTGTTATAAGTTCCTGCATGTGCTCCAGATTATCATTGATTCTCTTGAAACAAGCCTTTAGTACGCAAACACAATTCATATACAACATATCCATGTAAAATGTCAGCAGGCTAACATATATTACGAAAATCTTGATTACAATATTGCTATTTACAAATATAAGTAATTGCAATTCAATAAATATAAAGAACGAGCCTACGATATCCTTGGTGTGAATTAATCTGGATAGCTTCTGGTATGACTTTGAAGGCAATTTCGAAGAGATTGTCATTATAGTTTGGAGTAAACGCATTCGTGGACCGCTCAAAATGTACGTGACAACCGCCATCAAACCATTGAGTATGTAGAAACAATGACGCTCAAAAGTCCTGGGCACGCCTTTATATTTTACACTTCCACTAATATCAATCATATAGAGAATGCTCAATAAGCAAATGAAGCAAACACAGGTAACGACAGTTGAAAGAATGTAACGTCGTGTGGAACTTTCGATGACTAAAGCGTTGATTTTATACGGAAATACTTCGAGAATGTTGCAAAAGATGATGTTTGGATACATCAATGATTCAAAATCCGTGGCGTGGAACAATCGCCATCTTTTTCGCATTTTCCTATTGGCTCGTGTTTGTAATTTCGACGACGAGCTGAACATGATCACTGAAGTATCATGATTCATGAAGATACAGCCTAAGAATTATTAATTATTTTATAAATGCAAATGCTTTATCATCAAGTATAACATGACTGTAAAAAGTACATTCTTGATGTCGCTTTAGACGTTGTCTTTTTACAACTAACGTGTATATTGATATCGACTCTTTACTGCCGATCTACTTGCACTGAATTTAAATTTAAAACTGCGAGAGGTTTCCGCATCAAATGAAAATTCATAGTCGCTTGTTAGTTGCGAAGTAACCATGGTGCTCTTCGATCGAGACGTGTCACCATTGGAGCACAAAACATAAAAGAATGAAGAGCAGGTAATTCATTTGTATAAAAGAATTATATGTAATTGTTGTGATATATGAATCATGTGTTCGTACACGAAGCGAGAGATATAAACTGCATAGTATCCACGTGGCTCTTCGGATTTGTTAATAAAGACTGATCATTTTTAAATTTTATAGTTTTACTTTGTAAATGAAATGCTCGACGTCTTTATATTACGACTCTTTGAGTTTTAATCTTTTTGGTCTTACATATACACGTATATACACAAATTGTTTAATTAAAAATACAAAAATATCAATATCTATTTTCTAGAAAATGTTGTTATCAGTATTTATTTTCCGAACTCAATTTACACAGGATAGTTATGAATTACAAATATTTTTTCATATTTATTAAAATATAGTAAATTAATCTTCGCATGTGCGTGTGTGCGTATAAAAATTATACACACAAATATTAAATATTAAATTATGTTATGTACGTTTTGAGAAACACTGCTGCCATCGTGAGAGATGTGTAACAAATGCATTATTATGAGAGACAGATTACAATGCAAGGGCAATGCAATTATCTAAATTATTCGATGTATTCATCTGATAAAATTCTTAAAACGTACATTATAGTCTACAAACAACAAATTATCACAAGATGATTAATCTTTCATGTTTCAAAGACGATAAAAAAAAATGAGGAAAAGTTTTAACTATATCAATGCATCGTCTGCATTATGTTTTAACAAAATTTCATTATTGTTCAATAGTATATTCATAAATAAGATTGGAAGTAAACGTACATATTTTCAAAAATTTGCTTAAATTTTATTTTAAAAATTATATTAAACTATTAAGCTTTTAATTGCATTTATAATTGCGTATACAGCAGATATTTATTATATGCAGTTTTTTATTATGGAACTTTTATAACTTAAGGTCAGTTGAAGAGGACTTCAGTAGAGATCGAGTATTAAACCGATATTAGTAATTGCAATAGATTATAACTACAATAATTGTACGATAAAATTTTGACGTAATTGCATGCACAACTGTGTCCCGGATTTGTACTAACCATCGATTTGTAATTGCAGTATATATAAAATTTTCAAATTTCTCTATACATACATACAATAGTGAGCAAAAAATGTGCAGTTAAAATTTTTTATTATACTTTAAAAATGGTAAAAATGATATTTTTCAATATTATTAAAAAGCTCGTAGTCTCCACATATTAAAAAAATTTATT